TCACTTCTGAATCAAATATTAGACTCGTGACTTAAGAAATTGATCACAAAATTGATAAGCTCTTGATTTTTGACTAAATTGAAGAATCAGTAAATGCTGATGTTAGAGTGCAGAGATTTAAGCCAAATAAAGGAGTACTATGAATATCTCAAATATTCTACAATGTTACAAAATATGTCTATTTTTCAATTTTCGAGACGTTGCGATGGTCCCAACAGACTGGGAAACAATTATGGCCCCTTATACGCAGTCAGAAAATTATCTCGAAACAAACCAAATCTAATTTAGTTCTTTCCTAAGTAAAGTCTTTCTGTTGACAGAGTTTCTGGCAAAATTATTTTTGACGCGAAATTGACCGGGTGGAAATAAGAGAGACAACCTCTTAATTTGTTTACTTTACTTTTTACTATTTTATGGTATCACGTGAAAACATGGGCATTTCAACGTGCTCAGTTGCCGCCTGAAATCGTCATCATCATAATTATGTCTTCAAAAAAATTACTTTTTGGTTCATAATGAGGTAAATACTGGTATAGATTAGAGTGAAAATATGATAGGAAAAGTATCAACCTTGACACAAACCATTTCTGTGCGATGTTGTTAAATATGGATTACTGACATGTTCAATGTAAGAGCACGACACATGACTGAATCAACCCATTCTCGTGGGGATGTTCTCAAGCTCTGGTAAGACATGAAGTTCTCTTCATTATGAAATATTTTGAGTGAGCGTTTCTTAGTCCGTAAGTGACAGCAATTTTAGTTTTTTACAGCATAAGACAGCGGCCAAGACTAACTCAATGGAGTTTCTCAGCATGTTTTAGCCCGCATGAGACAGTTAAACGTAATGTCACATAGAAGATGTTCATTTGTACCTTCGTAATTGCTAAATTTGGGGCAAGTTTGGATGAATTTATGGACATCCTCCCCTTAAAAAAGCAACCGTGCTAGTTTTGAAAATAAGCACTGCCTCAAATATCGATTTTGAGCGAGAAATGGAGTAACCACAAGTATGCATAAATTAAGTCAATTGCACTTTGATCGTTGAAAATTAGTAAAGTTCATCGAGCTCCTGTAGCTCGAAAAGACTAGTTGCCAAAAACTTTTCGTCGTATTCGGTACACCAGCCTTAATAATAAACACAGATAGTGATTAGGACTCCAGATTCCGTTATACTTTTGAGAAAAGCGTCTTGGAACAACAGCACACTCGCTCAAATTTGAAAAGTGTTGTTTGCGTGGTATTTTCAAAATAGCGTAATTCTTAAAGGTTTGGTCAAAATTTAGTTATTTTGCTATAAATCGACAGAAGAGATGTAAAATAATACCACATGTCCGATTTATGCTATTTGAACAAATGTGTAAGCTTTTAGAGCCTCTAGCAAAACGCTGAAAGTTAACGCTGAAATAAACATTCTTTGTTTTTGACCGTCCTCACATCTCGTTGCCAAAAATTTGATAAAATAGCATTACGAACCAAATAAATACAATTTTTGCCGATAGAATAGATCAAATATCTCACAGTAAAAATTTGAAGGAATTCTGTGATCGGCCGAAATTCGAGTGGTCGGTTCTTACGCGGACAGCCTTTTAATATTGTGATGGCCTCTGATGCTTGCGTTTAAACACAATCTGTTTGCTGGCAGTTCATTTTAAGATGACCGCAAACCTTCCAACGAAAACTTACGCGCGTAAAAGATATATCTTTTACCATCTGATTATCTATGTCAGTTTACTTTCCCCCTGTCTGCGTTCAATAGTCAAGACAGTGGGTTGACTTTTCAGTCATCGATCCCTCAGGAAAATGCCGACGAGAACCTTGTTGTGAGAGCCTGTTCAAGCTCGTTACACATACGCGATGTTTTGAATTGAACAACTTGTCATCGAGTTGGAGCAGTGGTACTGCTTTTTCTCCGAAGGATCTCCCATTATTGTTGTAAATGCCGTCAATTCAGTGTTACATTCACGCTTTATTCGATCCGATCAACTCGGCTCAGCACACTTATTGAATACAATACCGTGTGAGGAATACTTACAAACATGCACAAGTGTCCTCGTCTGTAACCTTGAAAATTCTTTCAATATCCGTAATGATTCCGTAATGTTCTATTCCTTCGATGTGAGTCAAGTTAAACGATCTTCATTCGAAAAACAAAAGGAAAGCAAGCGATATCAACTCAAGTGCGCTGAGGTTTGACCTGGTGTCGAGTGATAACACCTCGGCAGACATTGGGCCTAGAGCACAGGACACCTAACATTTTCATTGTCGTTATCATGTTGTCACGTTATTGAAAGTCACCGATTTGGGATAGAAATGCTTTTTTTTTACTCTAGAACACGCACCAAGCAATCAGTTGTAACATGGCGTCAAATGGCGACTCATCACTCGCAGTTGTCCGCCCTTTTTGCAAGTCGTCTTTTTCCTCTATGAGATATCATTGTCGCCCCGTGATATTCTCCCTCGTTCTTTATGGCTGTTTTTACTCGGGCTTCCTGTGGAATGCCCGAGTCATAAATTGGGCTTCGTTATCTTCCATCTTGAGAAGCAAGTAAAGCGCATGCACCGAGTATGCTTTTTCAGTTGCGAAGTAAGAAAACAGCTATACGGCATCATGAATCATGAAGTATACACCTAGGTAAGCTTCAAAGCATATATTTATCATGGCGGCCAGAAAGATGCTCCGTGACTCAATTGGGTAAATATGTCTTCTCATACGCTTCTCATACGCTCTATCAATTGTGTTGTAGAGCATTTTCAAGTATTGATGTTTCGAGTATTTTTAGGTTTACCTTTTGTTTTATTAAGTCTCGCCTTTTTGCGTCTACGTTGTTATTTTGATGAATCTATAGTTTTGATCATTTATTTTTAGTGTGTGCTTGAACTTGGCTCAATTATTACCGTGCTAGACATTTTAATCGCTTGTTATGGTTGAGGATAACTAGTTTGCTAGGTGGTCATGTTTGGGTTGGTAAAACTGACCTTGAGTTTTACCCACACTGAATATCCTGTTTTGGAAATTCCCACGGTCAGCTAACCCAAACATGTCTGTGATTTTT